GGGATGGATCCCGAGGTACTTGGTCTGGCTGTTGATGGTACGTTCCTAATGTCGCTCCTTCCACCGTGTGTTCAGCAACTAACATTCGCTCACAGTCCTTCGTGATAGGTCTGACTGCGGGTGAGCTGGACCTGGACGCGCTGGACTTGGATCAGGAGACGTTAGTCGCTTTGCGGCACATCCAGTCTGCTACCGCGTCTTCGAACGATCCTCAAGCTCTTCCTGCAGCTTTGGCCAAGGGCCGCTCACCAAGTGACCCAAGGGAAGTCCCATTAGCGCCTTCGACCAGGTGGCGAGGATTCAGACGACGAGCCGGACGACTCTGACGAAGACAAGGCTCCAATCCCGACGGTCAGGGCCAGTACTTCGATGGCAGCTGCTGGTCTCGGTGATGCGCCACCTGCCGATACTTCAGCTCTCAAGTCGGCTCGTAGATCGCCGTTCGGCTCGAAGGCGTGGAAGAAGGCGGCCCAGAAGAAGCGCAAGAAAACTCGTCCTCATTCTCCTGCCAAGTCGCCTCGTTGTCATATGAAGACTCGGTCCAAGACTGTACCGTCTTCTCCAAGTTCATGGTCGCCACCAGCGTCTTCCTCAACTCCTGCCTTGGTCGACCTCAGCGGCGACCAGAGTGACGTGGACATGGGGAATGCTGGTCCAAGCAGCGTCCCTTCGGTTCAAGAAACTGCAACAGAGCCTTCGGGTAAAGATGTGAACCCTGGGGATCACGACGATGCTCCTGATTCTCCTGACGCGCCTTCGCCCCCGCCTCAGGGTCCACCCGATGCGGCCAAGCCACCAGCTTCAACGATTTCTCCTTCTCCAACCGGCATACGTGCTGCTGAAGAAGCTCTGCGCGAGGCCGAGCAAATGCGACTCATGTTCGGCTCAAGTGATGAAGGTGAAGAGTCGGACCACACTGTCCCACAAGGCAAGTCTGCTTCGGCGTCTGTTGCGACGTCCAAGACAGTTGACGTCTCGGGAGTGGTTTCTACAGCAGGGTCTGCCCCTGTTGAAGCTGCTCCACTAGCCTCCGTGTCTTCAAAGCCGGCCCCGACTGTTCCGACGGCTGTCGTACCAAGCGTGGCTTCGCCCGACTTTTCGATGGAGATTGATGACGATGGAAATGCTGATGACGATCGTGGAGATGACGTGGATGATAATGAACCTTTGGTGGATGATTCTCCTGATGCTCCCAGTGGTGGCGGTGATGTTCCGCGACCTACCGATCATTCAAGCACACTCGATGACGAAGATATTGAAGATTCCGACGGCAATTGGAGCAATCTTGGCCCAGCTCGTCCTCCGACTCCACCTCGGCCAAATCCTTCGCCAAAGATGACTTCTCCAATCATAGTTGCCGGTCCGCCTCCTTCGCCACCGGCAAGTCACCCAGCACCAGCATCTTCTCCTCCTGTTCCGGTGTCTCCTCGTCCGCCTATTTGGACTCTCGATGCTGGACCTGGGCGCATGATCACGGCCACCTACACTTCGGTGCCGCGTCGTGGTGGTGCACCGTCGGTTGAGCCGTTGCCTCACCGAGTGTTGTCTGGTGTTCGCCCTACGGTGCCGCTTCTTCCACCTTGCCACCGTGGGTTCTTCCGTACGTGGACATGGGGTTTACTGACGCAGGCGCCAAGAAGTGCTTCGAGCGACTCTTGAGCTTAACCCTTCCCGAACCAGCTGGTGAGGTGACCGTTCGTACAACTTTGGAGGGTCTCCTAGCGTACTTTGATTATTCGCATCCTGATCACCCGCACCAGCAACTTCGGCAGCTGTATCCTCTTCAAGCCTGTCTCTTCGACACTGCCGGCTTTGATCCACGCGTCCCCATGTCTCCACTGGCTTCCGTTGGCTGGTATTGAACGAGGTCTCGCTGAAGAAGCTAAAAAGATTGGCCACGACAAGGAGCGCTTGAAGGAACTGAGAGCTCTGTTGAAGAAGCTCTTCAGTGAGCGCGACCGTCGTGCCGATCGTCTTCGTAACAAGTACCGTGAGCAGTACATGGCGTGGCGTCGTGACTCGGTTTCCTCTGGTACTTCAGGCTCGCCGTTCATTCGTCCCGAGTTGCGTTTGGAGCCGTCGAAGCCGTGGTACCCCATTGAAAACTTGTCGCTCGCACCTCGGACATCTGACTGGCTTTCCGAAGTTCCGGCTCTCGACGCTCGTCAGCCTTGGCGTACTGGATGGATGAATGCACCGCATCAGCACCCATACACCACCACGTGCTTCCCGTGCCAGCGTAATCCGGAGCTCTTCAATCCTCGTGGTACGCGTTTCGTGAATGTTTACCGAAGCGTGATCGTAGACCCGTCTCTGGATTCTACTGAAGTTATTCCGACCTAGCGTTCGTTGTTTGACTCGCCACCGGGTACTCCACGTCCCGCCCTGGCTGCTGCTCCTGTTGAAGCTGGTACCGCGGATTCGTAGGATCCGGCTGCAGCTCCAGCTGCCGAGGCTCAGGTTCCTGATGAAGAGGAGAAGGAGGGTGGTGACTCGACTTCGTTGACACTCTTGGCCACCGCGGCCAGGCACTTGGAATCGATTTGAATCCTCGCTGCACGTTCCACGACGTTCTCCAGCATCTCAGCTAACTGTTGAGGTGTCCCGCGTGACTTCCTTTTCAGTGGTCGGTCCCCGGTCGGCATTCATGTTTTCTTATTCTTAATCCACTTCCACAGCGTAATTATGTTCATGTTGCTCTTCAAATGCATATACAATTTGTTGTTGCAGTAACGTTTTTCGTCTGTTACCACAGGCTGCATCGCCCTGTGGACAGTTCACACGTGATCCAGTCACGATAGTCTTCGTCCGCCACTTGCGCCATCTGCAGCCGATTCTCGCTCTTCTTGGCTCGCAAATAGTCGTACAGCAGACCTCCACATGACAAGTTGGATGATGGTTCCCAAGTTGGATCTTCATAGCCCGCCCACTTGATTTTGAACTCGCGTACAGCACGCTCCGTGCTCGTCGACAGTGGTGTTCTGTCGTCGAGGATGGCCTCGACTTCATATTCACCGGCAACTTGATCTGGTTCCCAGCTGTCCTCAGGCAATAGTTCCTCATCGAAGTCGAGTCTTGCTTCATTAGTCGCGTCTAGTACCAACCGAGTGTTCGGTCGACTGTTGAACTCGTAGACAGCCTTGAGTCTCGACACATGCACTACTGGGTAGAAGCGATACCCACTTCGGTCAGGCAGTTCCAGCTCATACGCAAACTCTTCCACCTTGCGCTTGATCCGAAAAGGTCCATGCCACCGGTGAGCTAATGTCTTCGTCAAGCCCGGTTTGACGCGTTCCATGTACAACCACGCCCGGCTCCCAATCTCAAAAAGAGATCTCGGTGGGGCTCTTGCAGGATCTTCCATCTCTTCCAAAGCTTCTGGAGGGTCCGCCGAGTGTTCGTTTCCACTTGGTTGAGGTACAGCGGTTTTTTTCAGTCGACTCAGAGCATCATTATGCTTTTTAGCTCTTCGCTCCTTTTCTACAGCCTGATAGTCTTTGGCCATAGTGAGGGCGACCTCATGTTGTCGATTGATCTCACGCCGCCACGCTAGTGCGTCAGACTGCTTGCCGAGTCCTCGTTTGAGTGATGACGACATTGCCCGCAACGTCGACTGCGCATTCCAACCATGAACGAGGTAGAACGGTGTTTCCTTCCTTGTAGTGTCTTGATAAGTATTAATAGCAAACACCAGCTTCTCTGCGATTTCATCCCAATCTTGCTGTCAAGGGTCTTCCGCGTACACCCGTACGGAACCCATCACCGACTTCACCTAGCATTCCTGCTGTCCATTAGCCTGTGGCCGATAGCTCAAAGTCGCTCGTGATCTTGACTGCATCATCTCTGCGAACGCTTGGAAAACATCACTCATGAACCGTGGGTCGCGGTAGTGACTTATCAATGATGGGGCTCCGAACCGTCGGTACACACATCCTTCGAACTCTTGAGCAACACTCAGTGCAGTCGTATCCGACATAGCCTTGGCAATAACGAATCCCGTGAGCGAGCACTGAAATAGGAGCAACGCAGTGTTGCCCCTGCGAGATTTCGGTAGTGGGATCACAAAATCCATCGATACGATCTGGAAAGGTCGTTCGGCTAGTACGTTGCCAGGTGAGTATCCACGAAGCTGCGGACGGCTTTTACTCGAGCTGCAATCTGGACATGACTTCACATGCTTCTCCACGTCAGCGTACAAGCCGATCCAATACTAATCGGACTTAACGCGATGGAACGTTCTCACCACACCTTGATGTCCTCCTTCCAGCGAGTCGTGACAATTCTGCAAGACCTCTTGAATCATCGTTGTTGGTACCACCAGCCGCAGCTTGGTCTCTTCTTGCCAACCGTAATCGTACCGACGATTCAATCCAAGATAGTGATGCACCCCGTCTTCTCATAACACGAACCGGTCAGCATACTTCCAGGCATCTCGAGCTTCTTTGTAACTCAGCTCTTCTGCTTGGCCCTAAAGCACCTTCTTGATGTTAGACTACTTCTGCTCTTCGTCTTGTGCCACCAGTATCCGTCTGCGTCGTTCCCGCTGTATTGCTACCGGGTCAACGTCTTCCGCATCGGGAAATGCCGCTGGTGCAGTCTTGTGAGGATGGTCTGGCAAATCTTCGCCGATTGAATCTTCGGTGGACGTCTCTCGTCGTTCTTCATGCTGTTCTTGAGCTTTTGAGACCTCCTCCGAGTGTTCATCTGCAAACCTAACGCGCTTCTTGGCTTTCGTCTGTTGCCGAGTCATCACTGCCATATTACCATAATCACACTCTGGTGAGCCGTGATCAACCACGAAATTTTCGAAAGTTTTCCACTTTGAAGACTCGCTGCCTGACAGTACATGTACTTGACGCTCTGCTCCTCGTGACGAAACATCTACCGAGTCTTCATCCGGCTCGTAGATCATTTCCTGGATGCGATTCAGCGACGCCAATTCCGACTTGCGAGTTTCAGCCAAGATGACTCGACTTTCTCAAAAAGCTCCGGACCCCACAGGTGGCCAAGACCCCGCGCAGAGCCAGTCCACCCTCGAGTGGATGGTCCCCCTTCAGGACGGGAAGCACCGCCACCTGGCGGCCCGGAGGGGCATGCGCGGTGGGCACGCGGCGATGCCCGTGCCCTACCGACAGCTCGCGCCTGACGCACGCGAACCAAGCTTCAGTCTGTGCCTGCGCGGCACGAGGCGGCTCCTGCCGCCGAAGTTATGGGGGCACATCTATGCCCGCGATTAGACGTCTAAACGACGTCACTACGCACGCGGGATATGACACCCTCGAGAACGTGCTCTGTGGTCACGTGGACTGCGCTACGGACAAGTCGCCAACGTCGTGGGAGGTGACATCGCGCTTTCGTGGAAGTGACGGCTGATAACTACGCAGTGAAGGGGTCTGCAGACTCCAAGGGATGGAAGCGCTGCTGGAGCACTGGGACTACAGGGTGGCTGGATTGAGACGGACACCGACAAAGGTCACAGGATGTCGTTAGGGTAGCTAAGTGACAACCGTGTTCCTTAAAACAAAAAAAAACAAAAACAAAGACTCGACTGACCTTTGATTCCAGCGCTTCAGTGGCTAACGAATCCGCGGCAGCATTGTATTCTCGTACAACGCGAAGATATTTAACTGATCGAAGCTTGGCCGCGAGTTCCTTGTGAGTATTCAGCAGTGCTAGCAAAGTTTCCTTCCTGCATGCGATCACCCCTAGTTATTGTTGAATCGCGAGCCTTGAGTCACCAACGATGACTAAATCCTCGGCACCGTGCGCAATAGCAGCCTTGACACCGTTTATCGTACCTGTATACTCTGCCTCATTCACCGTGGTAGCCGAGAGGTAAGCGTTTGCAGCAATCACTACCTTCCACTCAGGAAGGCTCGACAGCACCCATGATCAGCTCCAGTAGCCACCGTACTTCTCTGTCTTCGCTGATCCGTCAAAAGACATGACGAATCCGCTGTAATTACGGGAAAGCCTGGCGAACAGCAACGCGGGGTCCATTTGAATAGTCGGGGAACCCTTGTTTGGAGGTGCCACCGGCGCGAGTGAATCTTCCAGGTCGACGAAGCTCGTGATGCTTGACTGCAGTAGCTGCGCGAAGGCGACATCGTTCTCCTTCACGCGCTGTAC